TGGTTTGCCAGTGGTTTGCCAGTGGTTTGCCAGTGGTTTGCCAGTGGTTTCCAGTGGTTTCCTGCGTTCGCCGCGCCCTGGAAACCAAGGCCGGGCACAGGAAGTGCATCAGGTGGCGTCGAGGCATGTCTTGAAATATCCTTGGTTTTGCTTCTCTGCGCCGCCGCAAAGGACACATTTCAAAGACAAAAGCGATTAGCAAACAGTCCACACCTGAAACATGTTGTGGATGTGATTTGCCATCAGCCCATATCTAAGCGAAAACCAACCCCTGAACCATCTTGACGTATCTTGATTTTAAATCTTAGCCTGAGAAACATGAAAACAACCTTCAACCTCGGAGATTTGGGAACAAAGGGCATTGAACATGCTTTGTGTTCAAACTTGTTAAACCCTGCTCTCATGCAGTGCGGAACTCGATGCGGAACTCGGCGGAAGGCAGACGCTCCGTCCGACGCCGGTCTCTGCCGAGGGGCGACACCACGATGCAGACTCCATGATAGGTTTCCTGGCGGATGGTCATGGTGGTCATGGTGGTCCGAGTGGTCCCAGAACGGTCGGAAAACGGCCATGAAGCCATGAGATTCAGGGCATCCACCTCCCACTTTGGTGCCGAGATGGGGTGGACCCGCGCCCGTTTCCCCGTGTCGTCGCACCTGCACCGCAAGAGACTGCAAAAGACTGCGAGACTGGTCCAAGGGCTGCGCTCTGTGGGCATGTGTGAGAGAACGAGCCCCCCTTGGTAGGCTCAAAGATGAGGTTGTTTCCAACCCCTTCCATGTGGGAAACTCCAATTTTTGGAGGCTCAGAGTGTTTGCCACGCCTCAAGCCAGCCGAGCTGTCCAGGAGCGCAGGGCAGTCCATTGACCTGACGTTTCTAGCCCAACGGATGAAAGGATGCACCCAAAAGAGACGAAGACGGTTTCAAAGCTGCACCAACAGCTGCGACCCACCCACTGCCTGTGTCTTGACAAAAAGAAATGCCTTTGACATGGGTCAGTTGAATCATAGTTGAACCATGTTGAACCAATGACTGGCCGCCAAGCTGGACCTCTTTTGGGTCATGGTGCTACCCTGGACTATCCGCTCGCGAAGCTGCCCCCCCAATGGCAAGCAAAAGGAGTTTGGTTGGCTCCAGCAGCGGACCCCTGGGCTCCCTCGTGAAGGGCAGTTGCCAAAGGAAGTCAAGGGTAGTTGCTAGAGTCTATATAGAGGAGAACTACAGAACACCTGCAAATCCCCAGTCTTATTCCTTTGGCTTTACCCTTGGCATTGGAAGCGGTGCTGAACTGACCGACATAGATGGCAATTCAGCACGAGCGTCCACACTTGAATCATGATAGTGGAATCTTTGAACTCACAAATGGACCACAAAAAGTACTGGTAACTAGCTTGAAGAAAAGACAAGCTTGGCACATCATGAGCAAAGGGTCTCTCTTCACATCTGCTAGCGTTCAAGCGCCGCGTCCACCGCCGGGGGTGTTCCACCGCCGCAGATCTTCCCGCCCGCGCCTGTGAGAAGAAGGGCAGGGGTGGCCGATCATCGTTGGTCACAAGCATCTTCCTGGTATGCTGCTGCACGCCACGCCACGCGACGCGAAAGATGTGGCACCGGCATCCGGAAGTCGAAGGCGGAAACGCGCGGGACGGAACGCACGCGGCCACGGTCTCCGGCGCAGACCGCGCGGCTCCGCGCACAGCACGGAGGTTGGAGCACGGTCTTCAGGTGAAACGGACCCGGGGGTCTTCGTGTCGGACGGAAAGCTCGCCACGTGGAAAGGGCGGGCGGAGCGTCTTCCGACTAGTCACCAGTCTTCTATGTTCATCCCAGTCCACTCGTTGAGGAACACATCTTGATCTGGGGAGGAAGGGGAAGCTTGGTTTCCTGAAGAGCGCAGGGCTGACTGATGTCTGGTGGATTCGCCTCGGACGTCCGCATCAAGACACAACAGGAAGGACGTGTGTCTGAACGTGTCACATCTTTTTCTCCCGCGTGTTGGGCGGCCCCCAACGGCCCCCGGCGCCTGCGGGGCATTTGGCTTCGCTGTGGCGATTCCTGCGCCAGCTGCTCCAGCTGCTCCGTCCGAGGAGGGTCAGGGAGGGTGCGAGAAGAGAAGCGAACGAAGGAAAGATTGAACGAAGGGTTGCTCCAGGCAGAGGAAAGGCCAGGCTTGGGTTGCTGCGGGTGTCTACTGGTCATACACAGAGTCGGAGGCGTCTCGAGGACCAGTGATACACGGACACAGACAGCCCGATGGATGGTGAATCTCACCGTGGGACTGCGATTTTGGGGGGCTATTGGGTTGGATTCGTCGTTTTCAACCCTCTTTTCCATCTCCCTTCGTCTCTGATGCATCCCTTCGTCACCTGAAGCTCTTTCAGAGCTTTGAAGCTCGTCCCAAGGACGATCCGTCTCCCAAAACGGGCGAATCCGACACATCCCAGGCACCGCGGCGTGCCCTTCGCCGGCCGTGCCCCTTCGCGGCCCGCACCACTCCCTCCTCGCCCGCTTTCTCCGGCGATGCGGCATAGCCTCGGGGGGGGTTCTCGTTGAGGCGACCTCTCGCCACCCGGGTGAGAGGAGGTGGATTAAGCAACCTCTCCATGTGGCACCGGCGGTGGGAAAAAACTGCCGGTGTGGTCTTGATCGTGTGTGGAAACGGAGTGTTCCCGACCGGATTCCTTGGATGCAACTGTGATGACTCTCTTTTGATGAATTTCAGGGATCAGGCATGGAATGTCCCCACTTAGAAGCCGGACTTGTTCAACACGTCGACTGTATTGGTGCGATTTGGTGTGCCAACCAACGTCCCACTCAACTCGTGACGTGCGTCGGCACACTGTAGGGTGAAGCCGGCCCCCCCCCCATTCAGGACACGTGACGTTTTTACACGCCAGGAGGTCCTGAATGGGGGGGGGGAGGGGACTTAACATATTGGGTGGCCAAAAACACATAAGGTGAAACGGGCTCAGTAGTGGCAATTTGCGAGGCTTAGCAGGCTAGATTGTAACAACACATTGAAGAAAAAACTGCACGGGCACATTCAAAACAAACACTGGAAGAAAATGCTAGGAAGAAGTTGCGCAAAAAAAACATACCCGCAGCTGAAACTCGCTTTGAGAGAACCGGAAATGAAAACATCCCGTCCAGGCCATCGTTGGGAATTCGCTGAGACGATGGCTAGAACAGGTCCACAGTGTAAAGGGGATAGCCGAGGATTGCCGATTTTCCGACATCCTTCGGGACCAGGTCCCAGCTCCATGTGACAACAACGAAGGCGGCAAAAAGCAACCAATGTTCAGATCATACGGCGAAACGCCGGCGTTCCGTTTCAGAACAAATCCTGTTGGCAAGTGGGATCGAGGTGAAGTTGTGTGTGTGTGTGTCTGAATCCTTTTTTCCTCAAAGGCTTAAGTGACTTCAATTCTTGGGGTGGCTCAGACAACTTTGGACCTCATCCATCGCTGTGAAAATGTCTCAACCACGCGCGATCAGTCAAATGCGCTCCAGTCCAAGGTGTGAGATCGAGCTAGACTGATGCGCATCCGGTTTCGCACACAGAATGCCACCTCTTTTGGGCGTGGGCTTTGTGGTTTGCTGCAATGATATCTTCCAAGAACCCTCCGAAATCCCTGTAAGAGAGCTGCCTTTGGACTTGCTGTCGTGAGGCCATGAGTTGTTGAGAAGGAACTACAACCTGTATGTCGTTGAACTTCCTCACCTTGCCCATGTTCTCACTTCCAATGGCTGAGATCTGTTCCCTCCGAAACCTTGGCCCAAGCTGCTGTTCGTCGGAAGGGGGCTGTAGAGCGAGGCTGAAGACCTCAGGTCGCGGCCCGACCCGAAAGCGCGACCCGACCGATTGACCCGAGAGTCACGCATCGATCCACCGGTGAGGCGCGGAGAACGCGGAAGCGAAGCTGCACCACAAGCGCGAACGCGACTCAGATCCAGCGTGGCTGCAGAAGGCATTGGCATCAAAAACAATCCAACTGCAAAGCTTGCAAGGTGCTGGCAACATGCATATACATGCATGGTCCAATCATAAATGTATTTATATATATATATACACACGAAAACAAACCAGGCCATACATCAAAATGATTGAGCCGCAGCTGAGCGCTATGCTTTTTTGATAGTGTTTTTTTCTCAATCGCAGTTTGGTCTGTGGCGGGCAGTGGCCCAAAAACAAGGACTATCATACATGGTTATTACAGTCCCTGAAAATAATCCTGGTTCCGTGGATGGCATGGCCCCTCGTCCATGATTACCATTGTCCAAATACCAAACAGGTGGGTGAAGTCCACGTAGCCATGACTTCAGGGAGTGTATATAGTCAACCTAAAAAGCTTGGCTCTTCCACCGTGAGTGCGGCTCCCATACGTCCCTACCCACTATGGAATGCTCTGCAATGGTCCTCTGATGGCCAGGTCGATAAGGGTCCAGTAGACTGGACGGAAAAACCTGGCACGTACAGGTTTGCCTGCCTGTGAAACGCCTAACTCACTAAGGTTCTTTTTTCCCGGATCAATTGACAAGTCTTGCTTGCGATGACCTTGGACACGCATAAGACGACCATCAGAGCTGAGAAGATAGCAGCGCGATGGAGCGGCTTCAAGCTCATGTTTGGTTCTTGGATCGCAAGGAAGCAAGCACACACGGCCAGCACCAAAGGCAAAGACAAAGCGACCACCGCCATGGTCATGAGGCATTCACGGATGATCGTGCCTTGCAACCCGTGTCCTTGTTGAAAGCGTTGTGCAAGCCACACCATGTATCCCATCAACGTGGGTGCTGCCAGCAACCAAATCGTTGTTCCATAGATGGCATATTCCAGGGCGGCCTGAAGAGCTAGCGAGCAAGGATCTTTTTGAATCACTGGCATCAGCCATAGGACGTGCTTGAGGGTGGAATCCATGAAATTGGGTGGACACCCAAGAAATCATTTGATATGTGGTGAAGATCCAGTTAGAGCCATGTAAATAGCAGTGGATCTATTTACGTCCCATTCAACAAATGCCTCCACGAGCAATCGCCATCGACACGCTGCCAGTCAAGACTCACCACATCTGAACTGGAACTGGTCGAATGAGGTGGAAACAAAAACGACCAGAGAACTCCTGAAACATCTTGAAATCTTCCATCATCTTCAAGCACATCCATCCATCCCTCCACCATCCCCCCCCCACCGTCATCCCTCCCATGCCTCCACCGCCTGGATTTTCCAGAGTGAGGCCGCCACATCCAAAAATGCCCAGCCTCAGTTGACATGCGTGTCAGCTGACATGGCGTACTTGGCGGGCGGAGCCCGAGGCACCCCCTCCTCGCGATGTCACCTGTACCAAACCCCCGAGCGATGAACACCACGCGCGCTTTTCAGCACACTTATATACACCGCCACACCGCTACATGCAGCAAAACGCACGCCTTTCTCAACATGTACCCATCATTTGATTTGTAGGTCTTCTCCGCATTAGCGCGCTATATATGTATGTAAAAAGCGCCGCCCAGGGACCAATTGGTGAGCAAACTCCAACCTTGAAGGGCCACGTGAACTCGCCGTCCGACACCCGGAAGTACATGCGGTAGGACACCACGGCGGCGAAGGCGAAGCTGGTTCCGGCCAATAACAGATAGAAGACAGCCGTCGTCTTGCTTCCTGGTTTCAGGCTGGTTTCAGGCTGAAACGAAGGTGTGGGTACTCACATGGGGTCCTGGTTTCAAATGTTTCAGGCTGGTTTCAGGCTGAAACGAAGGTGTGGGTACTGACAT